TTACCACAAATATTAAAACAAAATCGGTTTGAATATGCTTGACTCGATTATTTGTATTAGAACCACCCCTTCTTTAACGGAAAATGCTGTAAAATATTTTATTGTTTCAAAGTTTATGTTGAACTGTTTTACCTCAGATATTTATTCAAACCAAAATGATGCAGAACATGAATTATTATCATTGTTGGCCTAATTGCATGTGATATTTTGTGAAATGAAACATACATCTAGTATAAAAAATTGGTATTTCTCTGCAAATTATTTTCATTCAAAAAATATGCATTTTTTAAAGTTGTTGTATGCACTTGTATGTATGTGTAATTTGTATATGATAGATATTGAAATACTGATAAACATTGTTTCGAATTATCCTTATGCACACATCAAACTGCCCTAATGCATAATAATTATGTTACTTCGGAAATATATCAGGATATTGTATCTAAAATTAACAAGCACAACCCTAAAAGAATTAAGCATTTAGTAGGATAGGTGGAAATTTAAACAAGTATGTTATGAAAACCAATATTTTCAAGATTGACTATTCACCCAACCAGGGAATTTCCTCTGAAACACTCCTTGTCAGATACAAAAAACTGCTTAGTGTAGGTAGTATTAATTAATTTATTTCATGATTGTTTAGTTTTTGTTATTTTTATAATAAGAGAGTTAAAAGCAGAGATTGTTGGTAGTTGTATTTGTAAGTTATTGATGTCGAGGCTACAGATATTTCTAGAATGCCTCAGTGAGAGATATGAGTAGTGGTGATCAGATGAGAGACCAGAGAGCGAGAAGAGATCCACAAGAGTGAAAGAAAGTTTGTTTAGAGAAAAGTTAAAAAACATAAAGTTATCCATTCTAGGAGTGAATAGCCTAATGAGTGATATCTTAAAGTGAGATTACAGTTTTCTGACATTTTAGGAGAATAATTTGACTCATCAAAGGGTGTTCTAAAGCAATTGAGCCTGCCTGTGTGGACTTTGACAAAAAACAGATGATTATATTCGAAGTAGGCCTAAATACGAAAAAGCAGACGAGTATCGGAAGTTCAGGATACAACTGCGGTAACTCATGAGGCAGTATAAGTGAATTATACACTGATACTATTGTGATAAAAGAAAACAAAAGAGAGAGAGAGAAGAAAAGGAATAGGTGAATTATACACTGAAAGTGTTTAAGATAAAATAAAGAAAAATAGTTCGGCTTATCAATTGAATTCTAAAGTAATTGAATTGACCTAAGTGGACTTTTGACAAGAAGAAAGATAGTATTTAAGATACAGCTATAATATACATAGTGTAAATAATTTTTGTATATATATTTTTTACATCTCTGTTTGTTTGTTAATCTCCCGTAGGAATTCTTCCCGAGAAACTTCAGCGATACAAGTCCTTTCTTGAATAAAACTAGTTTATTCTTTCTCAATACAACTTAGCAATACACTTAATTTCCACACTTAAACACACGCTATAACCCGTTGACTACCGGCTACTAACTTTCTTAGTAGCCAATGCAAGTCTTGCTATTTGTCATTCCAACAATAAAACTACT